AAAATTCCACGAGCAACGCCGGGCACTTCAGTTAAAATTATATATGTATTTATATATATCTTTATATATATTAAGTATGTACCTCAGAATTTCCCCGCTACCCCTAAGAGCTGCATAGTGAATTGGAGTATCTCCCCATTCAGTTCGAGCATTCAAGTCTCCACCTTCCTCGAGAAGGTAGGCACCACAATCAACTGGCTTTCCTTAAGTCAGAAAAGGAATTTAAGAGACTGTAAGCGTAATTTTAAGTGACCCTCCATGCAAAGATGGTGTTCCCTTTAAACCACCTTTATCTGATCAATAATATGAAAGATTTTGTCATTTTTATGTTAAAAAATATTTGATTCTAATAATTGCGATACATGTCTTCCTGCATATAGAAATGCGCAAGTCTACACATTAGAGAAACCACAATAGAAAATAATCAGTTTTTAAAATTATAGACATAAAATTCATACTTGATCAGCCACAGCTTTTAAGGGTAGGGTATAGTGAAACGGGTATTGCCAAATTTGCGATCCAAACACGATCCAAAAACATCCGTGATATGATTTTTTCATAGTTTCTACATCTTTTAGGGTAAAAATTTAGCAAAGTTTATAAGAAGCAAACTAAAAAAAATACAGTTTTAATATCTTGAAAGTTTTATTAAAAGTTTAAAAAAAACAATACAATACTAACCACAGCCTATATTGTAGGCCAGGAGATGAAGAGGGGTCTCAGAGAGTATATTTCTAAGGTTGGGAGATAATCCTTCCTCTTCAACAAAATATTGTAAACCTAAAACAAGATCTAATTTACCACTCCATTAGACTAGAAATTGAAACCATTGTATTATATTGTAATTTGTACACTATGGCAAACTAAGTTTAGTCATTTTCAAGAATTAAAAACATTAAGAATAAAAAATAAAAAATCAGGCGTTGTTTATTTATCTACATATTTTCGCAATCTTTGTACCTTCAGATAAAAACAAGATTGTTAATTTTTCCATCTTCAATTTATGCTTTAATCTCACAATGGATTTCAAAAATCTTCTCATTGAATGTTTACAGTTGGTGGAAGGCTGAATCAAACCAGATTAGAAATAGAAGATGGAGATAGAGATAACATCCTTTTTCTTTAAGAACCAAACTTTTGAGAAAAAACGATTTTTTTGTGAACGAAGGTGTCGTTCAGAAAAAAAGAACGATGGACAAACGACTTAAGTCGGTCATAGAAATAAAAAACTAGCGTTCCAAAAGATTTTGAAAAGCTATAGTTTTTTTTACTGAACGAAAGATTTTTTCGAACAAACTCTAAAAAACCTGAACAACAACTTTTTTATTTAACAAAGATTTTACTTAACGATCGAACGAACAAAATAGAACGATCAATATGCTAAAATAAAATAATTTCAAATAAACAGAATAATTTTATGAAAAATAAAAAATTTTTAGCATTTAAAATTTTACCTAAAGGTTGAGGAGTTAACTGATTATCTGATTAGATTTGAAAACATAGGATTATGAATCGGTGCGAAATGGGTGGGAAATGAATATCAAATGTTTACTTACTTTTTATATTATCTGCTTCCGCAGCATAGTGCAGACACGTGTTACCAAGATATCCTGAAGTAGAAAAAAAATCATTTAGATAAAACGCATCGTTTTAATTTGGCTAAACTTTCATTGCACAGAGCTGAAAACTTTAGAATGGATAAACTTTAATCCTGACTTCTTGATCCGAATATCCACTGTGGAAACTTTTCATTTTAGTCCTTAATCCACTCTTTTTCTCTCTCCTTGGATATCCGTTAATTGTTTTCTCCAATGAGAATATTTTTGTTCTCTCATTGGTTGTCCGCTTTTCTCTGATTGGCTGCTACAGTTTCTCAGATGATTAAATATTAATTTAAATTTTATCGTTCTTCGTACACTTTTAAGATAATCTTGCAAGATTATGTTAATCTTGAGATTAAGAAAAAGAGTGGATTAAGCCTTAATCCCGATATCCACCATTCAAAAGTTCCCAGCTCAGGAAAGGTTCCTTATTAAGTCAAGATTTTTTTTGGTTTGTTTATTTATTTTAATAGAATTATATTCATGCAATCTGTTATATAATAGGTTTTTATATTCCTTTTTCAGAAAATTTTACTTGCAATTGATAGTAAACCAGGTGAAATAAAATTATATAGAACTTCAGTATTTCATGTCGTGTCAATCATAAAGAAAATTGTATTTTCTAATGTTGATTTTTCTTTTTACTAAAAAATGATTGCAACATTTTCGAGTTTTTGATTACTGTTTCTATAATTAGCTTTAGTTTGCTTTAACTCAAGTGTATCATTATAAATGATTTATTACAGTGAACGAATTCTCAGTAATTTTAATTAACTCTATAACAATGGGGGAGGGGTGGTGTTTTCCACCCCCCCCCCTGTGGTTTCTTCTGAATAAATTAAAGACGGTTTAATTAGAATTCTGAAACTTCTTCACTTTTTCAACATAATAGTTTTAAACAAATTTTGCTATAGATTTTTTTTGATGCATAGGGTAGGATTGAGGACGGTAAAACCATAGAAAATAGAATATTCTCTATGGGTAAAACGCCGGGTCGGTGTTTAGAAAAAACCCAGAAATATTTAATAACTTTTTTTTAGAAATGATACACGGCTAAGACTTATACATTTGAAAAGCTCCTGAAAAATTATATATTAAGATGTGTCAAAGTTAATATTTGTTAAAAGTAAAAAATAACTAATTTTGAAAAAATTTTCAAAATATTTGTTGAACTTTTAAAAAATCCTTCCTTACAATCCTAACCATCAAAGTTACAGGTCTAATTTTATTAATGAACAGGCCTTGACAAGTTGGAATAGGGACATGTATCATACTCCCCTATCTCAACTCTAAGATCAAAATCATAGGGGGGGGGGGAACATCCCCCCCATCTATATTAGAAAAAAGCCCAATTGGGATAGAGTTAATATGAAACCTTTCATTTACATTTAATAATTAGATTGTCATATATAGAAATGGGTATCGTTATCATATATAGAGATGTGTATCGTTTTCATATATAGAGATGGGTATCGTTTTTTTTATATAGAGATGGGTATCATTTTCATATATAGAGATGGGTATCGTTTTCATATATAGAGATGGATATCGTTTTCATATATAGAGATGGGTATCGTTTTTATATATAGAGATGGGTATCGTTTTCATATATATAGAGATGGGTATCGTTTTCATATATAGAGATGGGTATCGTTTTTATATATAGAGATGGGTATCGTTTTCATATATATAGAGATGGGTATAGTTTTCATATATAGAGATGGGTATCATTTTCATATATATAGATGGGTATCATTTTCATATATAGAGATGGGTATCGTTTTCATATATATAGAGATGGGTATAGTTTTCATATATAAAGATGGGTACAATTTTCATATAAAGAGATGGGTATCGTTTTCATATATAGAGATGGGTATCGTTTTCATATATAGAGATGGTTATCGTTTTCATATATATAGAGATGGGTATAGTTTTCATATATAGAGATGGGTATCGTTTTCATATATAGAGATGGGTATAGTTTTCATATATAGAGATGGGTATCGTTTTCATATAAAGAGATGGGTATCGTTTTCATATAAAGAGATGGGTATCGTTTTCATATAAAGAGATGGGTATCGTTTTTGTGAACGAATGAAATTTTTCGTGAATGATGATGTCGTTCAGAAAGAAACGAACGATGAACGAACAACTTGGATTGTTCAGAGAAATGAATAAAATTATCCTTTTTTTACTGAACAAACACCTACCAGACAAAATAAAAAAGGACATTTTTTTACTGAAAGAACGATTTTATTGTACCAACGATTTAACTAAACGATATGCCAGTGAGAAAACAAACAAAATAATTTCGATAAAAAAAGATAAAAAATGAAGAACGTGCCCTTCTCTATAATCATTTATTTTCACGAGCTACTAAACTATCCCACAAAATATTATAAATAGTATAACCACTTTGAAACTTTTAATAATATGAAGCCCCCCGCCTCTCTCCCTCCCCCCGTCTACACATGTATGAATTAAAGATTCCAGCTGTATACCAGTAGCAGATGTATCTGCCCCGTACATCTTGAGTATCTTGACTAGCTGAAGATCACCAACTGCAAGATGGATTGGAAGATCTCCATTTTTATTTGGAGCATGCACATTAGCTCCAGCATCTAGCAGTAACCTTAAACAGATCAATTTCTTATTTGGAGCATGCACACTAGCTCCAGTTTCTATCAGTAACCTTAAACAGATCAATTTCTTATTCGGAGCATGCACATTAGCTCTAGCTTCTATCAGTAACCTTAAACAGATCAATTTCTTATTTGGAGCATGCACATTAGCTCCAGCTTCTAGCAGTAACCTTAAACAGATCAATTTCTTATTCGGAGCATGCACATTAGCTCCAGCTTCTAGCTGTAACCTTAAACATATGAATTTCTTATTCGGAGCATGCACATTAGCTCCAGCTTCTAGCATTAGCCTTAAACAGATAAATTTCTTATTTGAAGCATGCACATTAGCTCCAGCTTTTAGCAGTAACCTTAAACAGATAAATTTCTTATTTGGATCATGCACACTAGCTCCAGGTTCTAGCAGTAACCTTAAACAGATCAATTTCTTATTTGGATCATGCACACTAGCTCCAGGTTCTAGCAGTAACCTTAAACAGATCAATTTCTTATTTGGATCATGCACACTAGCTCCAGGTTCTAGCAGTAACCTTACACATATCAATTTCTTATTTGAAGCATGCACACTAGCTCCAGCCATTAGCAGTAGCCTTAAAAAGATCAGTTTCTTATTTGTAGCATGCACATTAACTCTAGCTTCTAGCAGTAACCTTAAATAGATCAGTTTCTACATAGGCCTGTTGATGTAATAAGGGTTGTTAATTTGTTCGGTTCGTTTTTAAGGGTTTTTTGCCTTTTTTAAATCTATCAGTTGCACAGTTCCAAAATTATTTATTCTAAACATTTGCTTTTTTTACACATACTTAAACAAATATTTGTTATATTTTTACCTTAATATTTCAAGATTTTTCAAAATACAGGCATTATGTATCGGCATCTGTCCTGCATGGTTGGTCTAATAAAAAACAGTAACAGTAATAGTAATAGTATAAGTAACATTAACAGTAACAGTAATAGTAAAAGTACCAGTAACAGTAACAGTAACAGTAACAGTAATAGTAATAGTAACAGTAACAGTAACAGCAACAGTAATAGTAACAGTAACAGTAATATTAACAGTAATACTAATAGTAACAGTAACAGTAACAGCACTAGTAATAGTAACAGTAACAGTAACAGTAGTAACAGTAACAGTAACAGTAGTAACAGTAACAGTAACAGTAACAGTAATAGCAACAGTAACAGTAATAGCAACAGTAACAGTAACAGTAACAGTAACAGTAACAGTAACAGTAACAGTAACAGTAATAGCAACAGTAACAGTAACAGTAATAGTATTAGCAACAAAAAAACTATAAATGATTAAAAACAATAGCAAGGAAAGGGAAGGGGAAAAGGGAAGAGAAAGGGGAAATGAAAACTAGGACGTGAAAGGGAAGGAGGGGGAGAGGAAGTAAAATGGAAAGAAAAGGGGAAGAGAAAGGAGAAGGTAACAGGGAGAGAATTGTGAGTTTGTGGACGTTTTTTGAAAAGGTGTATTATTGTGAGCAAGGTCCATTTTACCTTTGAAAATCATTCAAGTTAAATTATTTTTAAATTCTGAGTTTGTTATTTTGCTTTGTTTTACAAAATTTTAGCGGATAAAATAAACACGAAATAATTCTTGTAAAGTAGTTTTTTCTTTCTTTTTACTTTGAAAATTATTAAAAGTAATGATCAATGTTCATCATTAATGATTATTTTTTTTATTAGAAAATTCAAAGCAACTTTGAAAAGCAGGAATAAAGGTTTATCATAACTTCATTAAAAGATGAAAACGGGTCGATAAACTGTAATAAATCTAGGTCCCGAGATTATTCTACTCAAAGTTTATAATTACAGTCTCACTGACTTTATCTCTAGCCAAAACTCAAGGCTCTGTATTCGTCCGTATAACACAATGTTTGATGTAGTACTAAATTATATATAGAGGTAAATCAAAGTGACCGGATTGGCCTGTCAGGGTCACATTGAAATAGATAAGATATATTAATAACATGGATAATAAAGATCGTACTAATCATTACACAGAAAATGCAACAAAACTACCTTATTTAAATCTGCCCCGAATTTGATTAGATCAGAGACACCTTTCTTGTTGTTAAATTGTACTGCACTGAAAATACGAGACTCGGAGTTAAACGTATATAATCCATACATTTTTCAATTTTTATATCACTCAGTTTTGAGAATGTTTCAATATGCTAATAAAATTTTCCATCCATTCTTAGAAACTCACATTAAGTTAACTGAATTTTGAATTGCCCTACTACAATCTTATAAACAATTTTTCTCATAAATAAAAAACATATTTTAGTTTGGCATGAAATTACCAAAATTGTCCGAAATGGACTTAACAGGTACTGTACAAAAGTAAGTTAGCTTGCTCAGTACTAAATGTTTCTTCTGTCTTATATACAAAAATCCTTTGTTCCCCCTTTCCTACCTACAACTTTCTTTTTAAACTTCTTCTCTAATTTTTTATTCTTCTTAAAATTTTCGCTACTTTTTGCAATTTGAATTAGCGCATTTTAAAAGCGTGCAAAACTTGTCTATGAACCTTTCACGGGGTAATATTAGTTGCCACAAAAAGAAGCCAAATATATATATAGACGGTACCTGTGAAGAAGGGTATATTCCTGGTGTCCATATGGTTTATTGATTAACTGAGGATATAATTCCAGCATGGATTCCAGTTTTAACACTCTATCAGGACATCTATACAAATGAAGAGGCATCATTTTAGTTTTACTTTGATATTACAAAAAAAGAACAAATTAGACTGGTTCATATTTAAAATAAATATCTACATAATGAATAACGAGTGTTTTAAGGGAAAGGATGATTAGTAGGTTTGCTCTGGAACACACTATACTGACTTATGTGTATTAATCTCATCTTGTTGGTGGATTTTTTCCTTGATAAGAAAAACCAACATTGGCTCCGCAACAAAAAAGACTTTTAAATTAAAAATTAATTGTTAGCATTACCTAGATCACACTTGTGTTAATAAAACTAAATTCAAATAATTCTATCCCCCCGCACCCCTGATTTTGTTATTAAATATTGAGAATTTGTTTAATGTCCATTCTCTCACCTGACACATTCATGAAGATCATTCAATAGATCTTCCTCTTCTCTTGACAGTTCATGTTGAACATCAACTAAATCAAGTAGAATCAGTTCATCTTGAATATCATCTGAATCTGCAATCTGTGCATTTTGAACATAAACTTTATCACGTTTTATTCAATCCTAAGATTAAGTTATAAGGTTTTGTGCTTTGCAAATAATTTATCATCTTTCAAAAAAATCTTTTTATTTAATATCATTTAATGCATAAATTAATAAATGAATAAATGAACGGGTGAATAAATGAATAAATGAATATACGAATGAATAAAATTATAAATTAATAAATGCATAAATGAATAAATGAATAAATGAATAAATGAATAAATGAATAAATGAATAAATGAATGAATAAATAAATGAAAGAATGAAAGGATGAAGAAATAAATAAGAAATTCCACCTTTTTCCATCTCCATCAGCTTCTCCTTCATGTTAAATTTCATTTCAAGTCTAAGAAAACTAAATTATCAAAATACATTTATTTGTTCTTTTCTTGTTAAAGCTTTCAAGGGTTCTGTTTTGACTCAGACATTCAACTCATTAATGGAGTCACTTAAACTTACGACCTCAAGGGACTGTAAGCGTTATTTCAAGTGAACCTCCAAGTAAAGATGGCAATGCCCGATTTACAACGGTACTCTTGAAACCTTATCCTGATCAATAATGTGGAAGATAACGTCGTTTTTCTGACTCGAAAAGTGTCTTTTTATGCCAGTTTCTTTATTGCTTCTTATAAACAAGAAATGCGCAAGTCACTTTCGCAGAGAAACCGCAAATGAAAGATAATTTAATTTTAATTTATACTTAATTAGACAAAGCTTTCAAGGGTACCGTTGTAAATCAGGCTTTGCAGTCTTTACATGACACTTTAATTAAGTTAACAGTCCCTTTCAGTCCTTTAAATACATAAGTCCTTTAAATACATCAGTCCTTTAAATACATCAATCCTTTAAATACATCAATCCTTTAAATACATCAGTCCTTTGAATACATCAATCCTTTAAATACATCAGTCCTTTAAATACATCAGTCCTTTAAATACATCA